CAAAGCCCATTATACTTTACTGAAATGAGCTCTGGTGACCAAGTGGGTAAGGAGTTGCACTGCCAGCATGGTTTGACTCCACCACTGGGTCCATGGGAAAAGCTGGGCCATTTCCTCCGGTGCAATTTACAGCCTCTGAGAAGCTTTTGGAGGGTCATCTCTGAGTCACTTCCAACTCGATGGCATACAACAACTGAACAGGCTCACAGGGACTTCTGGTAGCGCAGTCCAGTAGCTTGCCCGAAGACAGCCCCTCTCCCGTGAATAAAATCCAACAACTCCTCCTCTGGAGAATGACAGGCACTCTTCTCCCATGTGATTTACTGCCTCGGAAACCTACAGGAGAGTCATCCACGAGTCAGACCTAACTTACTAGCAGTGGAAGGGAGTTACGTTGAGAACACATTTCACTTCAATGAAGACTTATCAGTTTGAGGGCTATCATTAAAACTTGAGTTTGTGTAAAACATGTCTCAACAGGACTTGGTAGGGCTCCGATTGGAATTTAAATATCATCCAACCTGTTCCTTAGCAATACAAATGAAGTAAAGAAAATATACCTTGGTATTTGGGTGGGTCAGTGTAAGACTGGCTAGCTCATATTTTTCTGGTTCAACCAGAAGGAATCACACCTTTGCATTGCAGGCTTTTCAACTCGAATTGTGTGCCTGAATGAATTTGATTTCCTGCTGACTTCTCAGAAGTAGGGACAAATCTCTTTAGCTTGGTGGTTTTCAGTGCTTGAGATTTTGCTGTTGCTAAAACAATACTTACTAAAACTCTGTCAATACAAATGCCACTGGGTCTGTTCTTCTGGTTTGGTTGTTGGTTTGGGAGGAAGTGGGAGAGTTCACCACCTCCCCATGTCCTCTTATTTTTCTATTCTTTCTGATGCTCTTGAAACTCTCTGAACCTTCCTGAGTTTTTGTTTTGTTCTATCCAAATTTAAAATCGCAGCAGTCAGAGTTAAGAAAACAAATAGAGCAGATGAAGGCATAAGCTTGGATCTGACATCCCACGCTGAGTGCAAGGAAAGGTCACAGTTTTCTTCCGTCTTGGCCTCCTTCCACCAAGACTTGTGGAAAATTCCATTTCGGTCATTTTTTTAGTGAACAATTTTCCCATCTTTCAAAACTTCAGGGCTCCTCTAGCCTCTGGTCTTTGGTGTATAGTAACAGCTCTGATGTATTCATTGCTGAAAGCTCCTGATCTTTCTAGATAGCTTTGCTGTTTCCAGCAACAACTTCCCACTGCCTAAACTCAGTACTAGCCCCTCAACCACACAGTCACGTTCCCATTATTGACATTTTCTCAATGACCCCCTGAAAAGTCCAGCAGAAAACTGTCCACTCATAAAATATAACCTGGGAAAGAAGCTGGCACTCACATTCCCCATTTATTATTAATCCCAATGCATTGTGGATGCCCAACTTTTTCCCTTGAACTTTGCAATCGCCTCACCTCAGGTAATGCAGGACCCCAAGGCAGCACGTCTTTATCAGAATGCACTATTGTTGTTGTTGTGTGCCGTTCTATATAGCGACCCTATGTGCAACAGCCCTAAACTCTGCTTTATACTGTGCCAATCACACTGTCTCTGACACTCCCATCCCGATTACCCCAGTCACTGAATCAATCCACCTCATAAAGGGCCTTCCCCTCCTGTGCTGTCCCTCCACCCTCACAAGCATGATGTCCTTCTCCAACGACCAGTCTTTCCTCACAACATGTCCAAAGTATGTTAGACGGAGCCTCAGAATCCTTGCCTCCAAGGAGCCGCCCAGTTTAAACCTTTCCAGGATGAATTTGTTTTCCTAGCAGTCCATGGTACATTCAATACTCTTCTCCAGCACCACAGCTCAAAGACATCAATTCTTCTATCATCCTTAGTCATTGTCCAACTCTCTGATGCATAACAAGTGATTGCAAAGACCATGGCATGTATCAGACGCACCTTAGTCTCCAGAGAGACACCATTGCTCTTCAGCACTTTGGAGAGGTCCCTAACAGCAGACTTTCCCATCGTGATACATCTTTTAATTTCCTGGCTGCTGGTGCCAAGAGTGTTGACTGTGGAGCCAAGGAAACTAAAGCTGTGAACAATCTCAATCTCTTCACCATCCATCCTGATGCTGATAGATGAAAACTATCAGAATGAATTAGCACATTAATAAATAATACAAATGCCTGCACCCCACAAGCACCAAAGAATCTATGGGGCTAAAGCCCAGGAATTTATATTTACCAAGATCTTCAGCAGGTACCCATTAAAACTTGAGAAGCAATAGCCAAGAATCCTAGAGTTTAGAGAACCAGGCCTTTAATCTCTGTAATAACTAACTAGCCCTGAGGGAAAGCACCTTTCACTCTTTGAGGATGAGCTTCCAGCCAAGGAAATAGAGCATGGTTTATGGCTCAATCAGATTATTTGATCCCAGGAGCTGAGTCAAAAGTGGCAAAGCATCAAAAAGATCCTGAAGATAAAAGTAGGAGACACACTTAAACACATAACGAAAGGTCAATTTGAGTGCAACTAATTTTTATTCTATTTAAATACAGGTTTGGAGGAGCTTGTCAAAGCCCAGGTTGTAAGTGGGTCCTCCTTGGGAATGGGTGACAGTGAAATGAATCCCACTGAGTTGTCCAAATTCAAAAGTCATTGATGAATCAACTGAAAAGCTAAACACCCAACTTGCTTTTCCTTCATTCTCTTCCTTCCCACTTGGCTGCCATTTACTCTGCTAATAGTTTCAGCAAAGATATACACACCTCTTAATTAACCATAAGCACTCAAAACTCAAGTATTTGTGATAATGAAGGCTTTCGTGTTTTGGTTTGGTTCTTTTAAAAAACAAACAAACAAACAAATCCCACTGCTGGGGAGATGTAAAATGGTGCAATCACTATGGAGAGCAGTTTGGCAGGTCCTTAGAAGTCTTGTTGTTGTTGTTGTTGTTGTTGTTGTTGCTGTTGTTGTTGTGAGCCATCAAGTTGGAACTGACCCATAGCTGACCCTCCAGTGGGTTTTCAGAGGCAGTTATCCCACAGAAGGAGAATGTTTATCCTAGAAATAGTCAGCAAGGATTGATCCAGCAATTCCACTACCAGGTGTATGTCCCAAAGAAAGAGCTGCCACACAAAATAATTATGAATATTCCTATTTATTTCAGCATTATTTACAACAGCAAAGAGCTAAAAAGAACCCAAGTGTCTAAGAAAACCTATGTTGTTGTTTGTTGGTGTGGAGTTCAAATGACTCCTAGCTGACCCTCCAGGGGGTTTTCAGAGACTGTAATTCTCACAGCAGGAGATTACTTCTCTTCATCCCACGGAGTTGCTGGTGGATTAGAACAGAACCACTATCACAAAGTTAGCAGGGCTACTTCCCATGGATTATGCCACCAGAGCGGATTGCACATTAACATGAGAATATTACCCATCCCTAAAAAAAAATGATCAAGAGTGTGTGAAATGCTGCACAGCGTGGATGAACCTAGAATAAATTGTGCTCAATAACATAAAAAAAAATGTTTGAGTCAGAACGCTCCAGTGGGTAAATGACATGGGAGAAGATTGACCATCTTTCTTCAGTGGAGACTGATAAATTTGAATGTCCAGAGGGTCCTTTGGGTTAGCAGCTGAACTCCCTACAAACTAGGCCACCGAAGCAGTGTAAGTCTGTCACAAAAGGATGCTTATGTTCTAAGACCACTAACATAAAAAGGTTCCCACACAGAAGGAATCCAGCATCGAAGTTAACAAGGAAGGTGAGGGGTGTAAAAGTGAAGAGGGCAGTGGGGTGAAGGGAAAAGAAATATACGATGAGTCTTATTAGACTTTGGATTCACTAGAGTGCTAAATTATAATTCATGTTATAAAACAAAATGTCTATGATTGTATGAAAACCCAAAATGATTTGTAAACTTCCACTCAAACAAAAATCCTAAAATTAGAAAAATGCATTTTTCTAAGCAAAATATTGCTTAGGTCCAAGTGCACTTTAGCTTCCCAAGTAAATTCTTTATTCTTCAGCGCTGTGAAAAAGTCTTCTTGCAGCTCATTTGTCCAGTGCAGTACTTATTTCTTGACTGCTGTTCCCATGGACATTGACTCCAGATCTATGTAAAATGTACTCCTTGACAGTGTCAATTTTTTCTGCATTTGAAAAACTAAAAAACAACAACAACAACAAAAACACCCAACACACCCAGGGGACAATTTAAAGCCTCGGGTAATTTTCAATTTAAAACCTAGGGTGATTTTATCACACTGTGGATTAAATTCCAGCCTTTGTTTAGTGCTTTTGAGAGAAAGAAAAATGGTAGAATTGATTTAGTTTTTTTTAATTTTTCTTTATTTGAGGAAAAAGGTATACACACACTTTGAGGACTCACATTCCATATTAATTTATAAACTCAAATGTTTCCAGTGGCTAACAAGTTACCATAAATGAGTAACAAATGTCTTAATTGTTTTATGTTGGGATTTTATTTTCATTTGTATTCTATTCTTTGATAAGGAGCCCTGTTAGAATCAGGGGTAATGTGTGGGATTACTAATGGATTGGTCAGAAGTTCAAAGCTACCAGGAGAAAGATGTTCTGTCTCTTCCCATAAAGAGTTACAAACTCAGAAACCCAGTGAATAGTCACTGCAAGTCTGAATCAATTCAAGAGTAGTAGAATAGTTCATGATGCTTTAGTGTTTTAAGATAAAAATCTTGTTGAAATTACTAAAATGACAGTTATTTGGGGGCTGGGAGCCTCTTATTTAAAGCTATTAGGACCCAGAAGGTGGAGTTTTGTGGTCCTGTTTGTATGACATCTTCATAGTTGGGTCTTTGCTTTATACCTGATGAGGCTCACCTCATCTCATTAAATTAGCAAAGCTAATTCCTTTTTTTTTAAAATTTCTCTTTAGCTAAAATGTTGTCTCAAGAAATAATGTTTTCTAAAAAAGAAATAATGTTTTCTGACAGAGCTATCTTCTTTTCTTTTGCAGAGAAGATTTTGACACCTACCTTCGAAGTGGCCCGGATAGAATTGGAAGCGTGTACAAGAAGGCCCTTTATCTTCAGTACACTGATGGAACCTTCCAGAAAGATGTAGAAAAGCCACCTTGGTTAGGGTTCTTAGGCCCTATTATCAAAGCTGAGACTGGAGATAAAGTGTTTGTGCACTTAAAAAACTTTGCCTCCAGGCCCTATACTTTCCATCCACATGGAGTAACCTACTATAAGGAGCATGAAGGTCAGTATCACACAAGTCACAGCTGAAAAGTTATTTTACTAGTGAATCATTGTTTTAGTTTATCACGTGTGTTCACGGCGTGCACTATAAGCAACCACATGATTTCATCCTAAATTGCTTTATAATAGATATGTCTGGTCATCATATTAATGATGGATTTCCCTTGGTTTTACTTCTTTATATGAAAACATGTTGGAAGGAGGACTGGCATCCACTTCCATAATAGCTTGCCTCTGGAAATCCTATGAACCTGGAGAGAGGATGAAAGGCACCCAAGTGTTGAGGACTCTCCTTCATAGGGTCGCTATGAGTCACCTGCGACTCAATGGCACTTAACAACCACAACAACATATGAAACATGATGTGATGGCTTTGTTACAGAACACAAGGGGTTCTTTCCATAGTTAATTGCCAATAAGACAAACTGATTGCAATATCCAGAAATGCACTTTATTACAGATCTGTGGAAGACAGTGGGTCCCAGCCTCAAAGACTGCCTCCCTGTTTGGGAGTGGTCATGGCCTTATATACTAGGGTGAAACTCCAGCTCATTTAACAATGCACTTTTGTTAGTAAAAAAGGGTAATTTCTACATCTGAAAAGGACGATTCCCATCTATGTATCAGTAATTCAGGAAGGCCCCAGTAAACAGGCCGATTAAGATACAGTTTATATGACTGGAGAACCAGCTTCACCAGCATCTAGGATAGATGCATTTCCTCTTCTGACAGATCAAACAACTCTACATGATTAAAGACAGAAAACAGAGAATTCAGAGGCTAAGCAACTAGTTTTGCAGGCCGAAGAAAAAGAACTATAGCTTTATAACTGCTACCTATATAGACAATTCTGAACTTATTAATACCACCCTATCAGCTTCACAGGGTAAATTTGGATTCCGAGAGTGCAGGACAGTTGGAATTTCCAGTCCAGCTGCTTTCTATTTAAATAGCAGAAGAAAAATGGGGAATGTGCCTAAGGCTGAGAAGAGGCAAAGGTCAGAAGAAAGAGAAGGTTGTCTTATCTCTCAGGTGGCTGTGATTGTTGTCACCTCCTGACTTCATCTGGGGACACTCTGTCCCAGCTAAAACTGCCTGAGTAGCTCATAGCCTAATTCAATGGTCAACATGTCTGGATGGTCCTTGAGAACTGAGATAGTTTCACATCTGAAAAACAATCCATCAAACGACATTTACACATAAGACTCATAAGCCTCAAATATGAGAGATGAAGGGCATGTGTTCGTACCTGATGATGAGTGTTATTCTGTTGTGGTTGTATACGAAACGGGTTCTTCCCGTAGTCATTTGCCAATAAAACAAACAGTTGCAATATCCATAAAAGCACTTTATTACAGAACTGTGGAGGACAGGGGGTCTCAGCCTCAGGGACTGCCTCCCCCTCTGGGAGTGGTCATGGGTTTATATACCAGGATGAGACACTAATTCACTTAACACTAGTAATTCAGCAAGGGGATGATGGTCCCTTTCCTGGTAAACAGGCAGATTAAGATGCAATTTACATATGACCAGGGAAACAGCCTCAAAGAGATATAGGAGAGATGCATTTCCTCTTCTGGTAAACAGAGATCAAAGTACTTTACAGGACTAAAAACAGGAAACAGAATTCAGTGGCTAAGTAACTAGTTTTGCAGGCTGAAGAAAACTAACTGATGTTAGTTTTATAATTATACAACTATAGTTTTATAACTGACACAAATATAGAGAATTCTGAACTTATTAATACCACCCTATCATTCCCCCCCTCTTTTTATATGCCTTCCATCTATAAGAAAAATGTCTGGGTTGATTCTTGGGGGAGTTATTTGTGGGTTCCCCATTTGGGAATAGGGGCACAGACTCTGGCTGCTTCATGCTGAACTGGGGCATCGAGAAGGAGGTGAAGAGGAGCCCACTTTAACTCTTCACTAGTCTTCACATAGTCTTGAGTGACTATGATTGTTGTCACCTCCTGACTTAATCTGGGGACACCTTTTACCAGCTAAAACTGCCCGAGTAGCTCATAGCTTATTTAATTCAATGGTCGGCATGTCCTTAAGAACCGAGAGAGTCTCACATCTGAGAAACAATCCATCAAGGGGCATTTGCACATAAGACTCATAAGTCTCAAAGACAGATGAAGGGCTTTGTTCCTCCTTGATGATGATGATGATGGAAATTTACAGATCAAGATTCTACTCTCAATTTGTCCTTTTACTACTGGCTCAGTGACTGTAAGAAATTTGCTTCAATTTTCTATGTATCCCTTTATTGTTTGTAGAATAGAAACAAAGATAGGACATAGTAAATAAATGCTAGCTGCTATCATAGGCAAAAAATTGCCAAGATCATGCTAAAAGTCATGGAAATTATAAAGAGCAATACATTTTATGCTGTAGAAAGTAATGGAAAATCACATTTGGTTGATTGCTAATCTTTAAAAATGAATATTTTGACCATATCTGTTTTCATGTTTTCTGAATCAAAGCAATTATATTGATGGCATAAATAGCTGCCCATCGGTTACTGAACACAAGGGGTTCTTCCCATAGTCAAGTGCCAACGGACTGCAAGATCAAAAGCACTTTATTTCAGATCTGGGAATAAGCAGTGAGACTCCTCTAAACACACACACACACACACACACCCCACCAACAACAAACCAACAGCCTCTTCATCTGGGAGTGGTGTGGTCCATGAGGTTTTTATACTTGGGTTAGACTTTTGTTAATTAAAGTTAATTATTTCTACATTTGAAAAGAACAATTTACATATAGTTACTAATAAATAGACAATTTATGAAACAGTTAACATATGATTGAGTAAAACAGTTTTGAAAAGGTAAATGCTAATCTAGGAAAGATGCATTTCCCTTCCTAATGAACAGCTTAAGATACAGTTTACACTGCAGGAAAAAGAGGTAAAAGCAAGACGTGTTTCCTTTCCTGGTAAATAGACAGCTTAAACTACTTTACATGACTAAAGAAAAGGGGGAGAAGGATTCTAAGGCAAAGTAACCAGCTTTGCTGACTTGAGAAAGATGGATGTCAGTTTTATAACTGCTGTATTTGGATAATTCTGAATTCATCAATATCACCTCATCATTACGACCCCAGGGCAAAAACGGTTCTTTAAATTACAAATCAAAAGTAACCATGTTTCTGATGCACCAATTAATGCTGTCTGAAAACTTGATCAAGTATTTTTTTACAAAACCCAAGATTTTCTGTGAAGCTTCCAGCCTCTCTAGGGATGCCTCTGGATATATACTCTGTGTGTAATAAATACTTGCTGAATCAAGTCAGGGACGATCTAGTACCACAGTTAAGTTCCAACACACTGACTTTGTAACTTCTGTTCTGTTGCTTCACAGGGGCCATCTACCCTGATAACACCACTGGTGTTGAAAAAGCAGATGACAAAGTGAACCCTGGTGAGCAGTACACATACATACTGCATGCCAACAAAGAACATAGTCCTGGAGAGGAAGACAGTAATTGTGTGACCAGGATCTATCATTCCCATGTCGATGCCCCAAGAGACATTGCCTCAGGACTCATTGGACCTTTAATATTCTGTAAAAAAGGTATTTTTCTTATTATTGTTCATATGACCCAAAGAAGGACAAGTGTGATCCTGTTGGTTTTTTAAATACATCAAGTCTTCTTGTGAGTGTTCTGTCACTGAGATGTAGATATGGCTATTGTTAGGGGATGGGGGGGGAAAGGGAGCAAGGGCATGAGGGAGAGAAAGAAATTGGTCCAAAAAAACCGAACCGGCCTTTATTGCCTGGTCTGAGAGGAACGCTGCACAGCACCGGACAGGATGGAAACGGCCCACAGGCAGTTAGTGGGGGGGGTAGGGGGTCCTTCTTATAGGGGTCCTGGGGAGGACTAAGATCCTATTTCTTGGAATTTGAGTTGTTAATTAAGTTAGCTTTGGGCTATTTTGATCAGGCCCTTATCAGGATCCACTGTCTGCTCTGGTCTTTGATATGACCAGCTTAGATGTTATCTGGTTTCTCAGGAAGTTATCAAGCTTGGGGGTGGTAGGGGTGGGACAACTGCCATATTCTTCCTTCAGATATAGATTAGATTCTAGTGTGACATAGGGCTTTCATTGGTTCATTGTTTTTTTTTAGAACAGTTGTAATACCACTATGAGTTGCAAGTGACTCAATGGCATATAACAACAACAGTTTTTAGAAGTTGATCATAAGGCCTTTCTTCCTAATTTCCAACCGCTTCTTCTTAGTCGGTCTCTGCCTGGAAGTTCTGGACATCTAGTCAGTGACATAGCAACACATATACCTCCCTGAAAGATAGGTAGTGAGTACAAACACAGCTGAGAATTGAACCTGGGTCTCATGCATATAGGCCAAATATTTTACCTACAAATCACTCTTGATCACCGTGGCAATTGGACAATTAAAACAGACATTCGGATGGCGGGGGAAGAAGAACAAACTGGGGAGGAGGGTAGAGAGAATGGTGCAGCAATGAAGGAATGAAAACCCAAAGTCCCTGTAAATGTTCATTAAAACTAATAAAATTTAATTAAAAAAATCACTCTTGATAACAACTGTTATTGTTATGTATCGTTGATTTGGAATCAACTTGTAACTGACCCTCCAGAGGGTTTTCAGAGGCAGTTAATTTGCACAGGAGGAAACTGCTAAACTTTCTGAACAACAGGTGGATTAGAACCACAAGTCTTTGAGTTGAGAGCTGTTCTATGTATAGCAACCATTCCAGTTGTTAAAAGTCAAGAAAAAAGTACTTTATTCTAGTATGCTGTAGAAAAGGAGAAAGGATGATAAAAGGGTTGGAGAATCAGATAGCTGGTGGGGCAACTGCACCCGAATCTCCTGAATGTTACCATTTTACAAGAAGTTTTCTATGAAGTTACACTCTTGAAGTTCCGTCTACATCAAGGTGATACAGAAAACAGGCTGTCTACACTTTCGGTCTTCTGGTGTCTTAGTTAAGAGACTTTTGATATGAGAGCGGCCCTCATGCCTTATCAGAGATAAGGATATTTATATAACACTAGGAAGGGACATGCCAGTAGGTGTTACAAAGTGGATAGAGAAAAAAAACAAAAAAATAAAAAAAAAAAACAAAAAACAAAGTGGATAGAGAATCAGATGAAGCCATCTAGTCCAGGTTGACAGGGCACAGAAGTGTAAACGAAGCAGACCACAAACTTTGTTTTTATGGGCTCCTTGGCTTGAAGATGTCAGTGCACTCTGTGCGTAATGAAGGAGGTTTGCCAGCAAGGTAGGTAAAACTCAGAATTGACAGCATGGACGTTTCTGTGAATTAGCTATTGGCCCTGGAATTTCAGAAACAACTCAATATTCAACAATTATTTTTGCTGGGCAGGATCCATGGTTGTTTTATTTTTTTTTATTATTTTTTTTGCTAGTCAATAAGCCTTTTATTTTTTTTTATTAAATTTTATTAGTTTTAATGAACATTTACAGAGATTTGGGGTTCTCATTCATTCATTGTTGCACTGTTTTCTCCACCCTCATCCCCAGTTCGTTCTTCTTCCCTCCCCTATGTCTGTTTTAATTGTCCGAATGCCACAGTGCTTGTCAAAGCCAGTTCTGATTAATCTCCTTTGTCAGTGTGTCCTTTGCCATTCCCTATCACTCTTCCCTGAGAGAGACTTCACCCTGATTCATAAGGAAAAGGGGATGGCGTATTCTCTTAGCTACTTCCTGCTGAAAAGGGACGCTGTGGGTTTCAGGGTGAATGTCTTCTCTCACTACTCCAAAGGGCTCCCTTGGCAGTAGGAAACAACTCTTACCACAATGCCACTCTGCAAAGAATTTTTGTCTTAGCTTGTGGCTATAGATGCCAGAGGATGTATGCACAACTCTTTCTCCCAGCCTTTCCATTTAATAAATCTCACACCATGTTTTTTGACCAGTGAGCATTTAGATAGAAGTGTCTCACTTTCCCTGGGTCCTGAACATGAGATTATCTAAGTGTTCCCATTTCTCCAAAGCAGGGGTAACTGGTTGGGATCTGTGGGTTCTTTGAAAAAAATATATACTTAAATATAAAAGTATGTATCACTTTAAAATATATACCAGAGATAATGCTAAAAAAGTAAGTTCTACTAAAACAGTCATTGTCATTTCAGATTCGTTGGATAAAGAAAAAGAAAAACATATTGACCGTGAATTTGTAGTGATGTTTTCTGTGGTGGATGAAAACTTAAGCTGGTACCTAGAAGACAACATTGAAACTTACTGCTCTAACCTAACGAGTGTGGAAACAGAGAATGAAGACTTCCAGGAGAGTAACAGGATGTATTGTAAGAGTTCAGAACACACAATTTTGCCTTTTCTCTTAATCCAATAGAGTTGCTGAAGTCATCGCTGTTGTGAATGAGTAGTGTGCTTCTGTCTGTGGCACTGATAACAGCATCTATGGAATGTGCAACTTGATATTCAGCTAACCACATCAAAGCAAAGCCCTAAGCCTGGTAAAGCCACTAATCCCCAAATTTCCAAGGATAAAACTTGTTCCCAAACTGAGAAGAACAAAAGAGCATTATCAATTATAGGTTAATAAGTATCTGCTTATGCTTATATATTTTTCTCTTGTAGTCTCATCCTAAAGATAATTTGAGCCAGTCTGAAATTAGTACAGAAATGCTATCTTATAAAGCATCTAACTAAACTTTGGGTTTAGGGTTTTTTTATCTTTTTTCTTTCAAATACAGTTTTATTTTAAAAATAGAAATTTAAAGTTTAAAAATGGTCAGAGGCTGGCAAGCTCTGTTAGCCAAGTGACAAGAAGCTGCACTGTAATCCCAGAGATAAGCAGTTGGACTCCACCAGATGCTCTGCTGCAGAAGGAGGGACGATATCCCCCTATACCAGTCAGATCCGATTTGACAGTACATGCACACAAAATAATAATAATAATTTTTTTTTTTAAAAATGGTCAGAGGCTGACCTGGTCAAGGGGAAGAGGACCCATTATCTCCCTTAAGAACCTCCCAGAGTAGTCAGAGCCCACTAAGACTTATTCCCATTCCCCATGGGTCTGCTGATACCAGTTTCCTATGATTCTCAATTTCCCAATTAAAAAAAAAATCCTAAAAACAAACAAAAACCTCCCAGAAAGACAGGTCAGAGATTCAAGTGTCTGTGACTCACCAAGTCTAAGTTAAAGCTCAATAGTTTGTTGGAGACGATATGGTTGGTAGAGGACAGGTCTCTAGGGTGAGCCGGAACACTCCTTAAGAAAACTGACCATTTAACATCAAGAAGGGCAGCATTTGCCCCAAGAATAAAGCTTAAAGGCAAGAAGAGACAGGAAAGGGGAAATAGAAAGGAATGGCGTCCTTGTGGGGATTACAGACTCGGTCACACAAAATGCAAATTGTTGACTAGGAAAGCACTTCTAGAGTTGCACGTTCCTACTCACTGCCACCAACATCCTCTCCAGTTGTTCTAACTGTATTTTGAACCCTAAGGAAATAATGTTTAGATGATTTAGCCGCTAACTAAAAGGTTGATATTGGGACCTACCAGCCACTTGACAAGCGACAGTCTGCTTCCATATTGAGGTCAGCCTTGGAAACCCGATGAGACAGTTCAACTTTGTCCAATTATGTCACTATGAGTCAAAACTGGCTTGATGGTAGTGAGTTTTTAACTATATTTAATAGTTCAAGCTACTAGTCTTGAATGCATTGTGCTTTACTTCCCCACTCAGCTTCATTCTTCTCTTTAAGTACTCAGGTACTAACAATGAGCTTAGTCAGATTCCTGATCTCTTAGAATCTGCATGAGAAACCCACCCTTCATGCCATCCTAAAACAACGAGTATTGATAATTCTGTGTTTAGCTTCTTTAAAACAACCGTTAGAGGAACGTGAACACACACATGCATGCGCACACATGCACAGACACAGACACAAATGGCTGCCCTATCAAAGCCAGGAAATAAACAAGTTCAAATTTTTTTATCCAACATTTGCTTTCAACTGATTGGAGGGCTCTCTTTCAGTACTTTAAAACTACTTTTTATGTACAAACAATAATAAATGTTAGAAAAAGATGCTATCCATTCTCATTCAGAAGCTTCTGCTTGGACACATTTTCTGCTCCTGCCCAGTCGGTATGTTTCCTACAGTCAGTTTTCATCTTTCCTCTTCCAGAGCCACTCAGTTTATCAAATTTTGTAATACAAACAGACATTGTAAAAAATTGAAAAAGTTCTCATAAGTAAAAAGGAAAAAACCTGTTCAATAACTTTGGCTTTATTTCTATTCACTAGATATGTATTTTACGTATTTGTGTGTATGTGCGTATGCTGGGTTTAGAGATATATATACACAAGCAGGAGTGGCATCCACTTCCTAAACTCTATGAACTTTGATAAATGTTGATAGTTGTAGAGGGGCTTTAGGCCTTTTGTTCATAGAGTTGTTGTGAGTTGTACTCAACTCGAAGGCAACCAACAACACTAACACATGCATATCAATGAGATGGATAGATAAGTAGATACATAGATACAAATATACATAGATAGAAGATATAGACATAGACATAGACATAGAGATATATAAACCAAACTCAAAGTTCATTGATTTCCATTGATAGTGACCCTATAAGAGAGAGAGTAGAACTACTCTACCGGGTTTCCAAGACTGGAAATCTTAACGGGAGCAGACTCTTCATCTTCCTCCAATGGAGCACATAGTGGGTTCAAACTGACAGCCCTTCAATCCTGGAGATGATGTCCATTTAACTCCTTTTGTTAGAAACCCTACACACTGTAGGTTTCATCGCCAGGATTATTTTGGGTTGAGAAGAGTCCTGATTGAATTCATCTTCAACAGGAGAGAAAGTGGTGATTGATTATCAATGTCTGATGGGGTATTGGTGGAAGAATAAGCACCACGCCCCAGGTATTTTCACTCCAAATGGATTCTGTGTTTGTAGAAGTTGACGTCATTATCCAGGGACTGAAGTCTCTTAGTCACAAACCCTCTGCTCTTGACTCGCAGCTGTGAATGGATATGCATTTGGAAGTCTCCCGGGACTCACCATGTGCGCAGAGGACAGAGTGAAGTGGTATCTTTTTGGTATGGGTAATGAGATTGATGTGCACGCCGCTTACTTTCATGGACAAACACTGACGCACAAGAAGTCCCGAACCGATACAATCAACCTCTTTCCTGCTACCCTTTTTGATGCTTTTATGGTGGCCCAGAACCCTGGAGAATGGATGCTTAGCTGTCAAAACCTAAACCATCTCAAAGGTAAGGCATTTTTATCTTAAATTAGTTGTCAGACTTAAAAAAAAAAATAGACCTATTAGTCACTAATACAGAGACTAAATTATACTATTGATATTAAAATTATCTTTGGGATAATCTGAACCTTTTATTGTTGCTGTTGAGTTGGAGCTGACCCTCAAGGGTATTTCTTTATTTTTTTAATTGAGATTTTAATTTATTTTAATTGAATGGATTTCCATTCATTCATTGTTGCACATTTTCCTCCCTGTCCCCCTTCCCCCAGTTTACTGAAGAAAAATTCTTTTGTTATTATACAGTCTCCCCACCCCAGTCCACTTTATTATGTAGCTCTTATTCTGGACGCTTGTCATACCAATAATACCTAATCATATATTCCTTTTATACAGTTCTATCCCTCATCTGTTTCAATGCCATGTACATTATTTATCCCATCTTTTTTTATTTTCTCCCCAACCTCCACGTCAGTCCTGTTTTATAACAGTGGCATTATACAGTATTTGTCCTTTTGTGAGTGAGATATCTCACTTAGGACACTGTTTACCCATTTTGTATAATATTTCGTGAGTGTGCCTTGTTTTTCAGTGCTCTATAATATTCCATTGTGTGAATATACCACAGTTTTTCTATCCATTCGTTTGTTGATGGGCATTTGGTTTGTTTCCAACTCTTTGCTATTGTGAACAAAGCGGCAATAAACATGAGTGTGCATATATCTGCTTGGGTGACAGTTATAGTTTCTTTAGTGTATATTCTCAGTAGTGGAATTGCTGGGTCAAATACTATTTTTTATTTCGAAATTTTTAAGAAAATGTCATACTGCCTTCCACAGTGGTTTTACCATTTTATACTCCCACCAACAGTGAATAAAGGTTCTAGTTTCTCCACAACCTGGCGAACATTTGCTGTTTGCTGCTTTGTTGAATTTTGTTATTCTTACTGGGGTGAGATGATATCTCATAGCTGTTTTGATTTACATCTCTCTTAGAACTAGAGATTTTGAACAGTTCCTCATATGTTTGTTCCCCATCTGAATGTCTTATTTGGTGAAGTGTCTCTTCATATCCTGTGCTCATTATGCAATTGGGTTGTTTACCTTTATCTTATTTTGGTGTCTCCAGAGGATCTTCAGAGGCAGTAAATAGTACAAGAAGAAATTCCCCATCCTGTTCCCTCAAAGTATCCAGTGGATTTGAATTGTATACCTTTGGGATTGCAGTAGTTTCTTATCACTTGGCCAACGGAGCTCCCCATCCCTCATAATGCAATGCAAAGAAACATTTACAAAATAATGAAACATGAAGTACTGTGCTGTTTCTAGTTTCTCAACTTTCCAAAATACCTTTATTACTTGTTTCTTATATAGAAAATAAAACTACTTTTAAAATTGATTCTGCCAAATACGGCCAACTTTGTTCTTTCAGTCTAGCTGTTCCTTGATTTAGCTTAGAAAATACCTCTTCTATTTGCTGTGAGATGATTAGATCATTCCTAGTTCTTGAAAATAATTAGATTGTAATATTGTTCTCCTAAGAAATCATGCTTTAATCTGAATCTTTGCAGAGCATAAATATGATATGTTACTTCAGCCATCAAACATAATCTCACCTATCAACTATAACCTTGTCAAGGTCTTATACAACAGTTGTACAGTCAGTTTGTATGAGAAAACACTGACAAATACAGACTCATTCTATTTCTCTTTTTCCGCTCCACTTTACCTTCTAAAACTCTCAAAGTCCTTTTGCTTTGTTTATCACAAGCTTGCTCTTTTTCTCTCACTGAAAGAATTCTCAAGTAAAATTCAACAGTAATTAGTACCTTTATTTTGCAAACAGTAATACTCAAAAGGGAACCTCTGGTGGCTTAGTGGTAAGGAATGGTGCTACCAAGACAAAAATACGTAGTTTGGATTCACCAGGTGTTCCTTGGGGGAAAGATGGGCAATCTCCTTCTGGTGATTTACTGCCTCTGAAACCCAGTTGGAGGGTCAGTTATGGGACAGTTTCAACTTGATGGTAACCCAACAACAACAATACTTTAAAACATCTCTATTCAAACTCTGTTAATTTTTCCATCAGTAATTAATTGGTTTACACTGTTGAGTCTCTGAGTAGTTCAGATGGATAGATTTTTTATGGCTATACAAAAGGCGGGTGGTTCAAATACCCCCAGAGGCGTATCAGAAGATAGGGGGCTGGAAAATCCTATGGAGCACAGTTCCAATCTATGCTTTGACCCGCATTTGTGCATTTATCCTTCACTGAAATCAACTTCCTGACAACTAAGAGCAGCCCTCTTAGTTTATACATCATTTCTATTTATTTTCTTTAATTAAAATTTATTAACATTTAATAATATTGCTAATAAAATGATTTTTACATTGGGAAAGTCAGCTGTCAGGAACCTCTTCAGAGTACTGAAGAGCAACAGTGCCAGGCCGGAGACTAAGGTGCTCCTGATTCACACCATAGTCTTTGCCATTGCTTTTTTTTTTTCTTTATTATTAATTTTAATGAAAATTTACAGAGACTTTGGACTTCCATTCATTCGTTGTTGCACTTTTCTCCCTGCTCACCCTTCCATCCCCAGTTTGTTCTTCTCTTTGAAAAGTAAAATTCTTTTATTGTTATACACTCCGTCCCCCCAAGTTCAGTCCACTATGCAGCCTTCAATCTAGACTCCTGTCATGGCAATAATACCTAATCATATATCCTTTTTAAACAGTCATTTCTATTTCTTCAATTTCCTTTTGCCACTTCACCAACAGCCTTTACAAGAAAATAGAGAAAGAGACATTTGGTTCATTAACTAAAGCCTCCTCCTTCATTTCCAGCTGGTTTACAGGCCTTTTTCCAGGTGCAAGACTGCAATAAATCGTCATCAGAGAGCAATGCCTTTAGGAATGTGAGACACTACTACATTGCTGCTGAGGAAATTATCTGGAACTATGCACCCTCAGGGAAAGATGCCTTCACCAATGAAGACTTGACTGCAATTGGAAGGTAATTCAGAAGAAATGGCAGGGAAAAAGCCTGTTTTCTTCCCTCATCCCCATTAACCATAAAAGTTGGAGTCAGTGATTAAAACTGTTGTTATTTGCTGTCAGAGCCAACCCATAGCTGACCCTCTAGTGGGTTTTCAGAGACAATAAATAGCACAGGAGGAGATTGCTCATCTTTCTCCTAAGGAACAGCTAATGGATTTGAACTGCTTGCTTTTGGATTGCAGCACAGCTTCCTACTAGTAGGCCACCAGAGCTCCCTCTTTGTGTGTCATAATGCAATGTAAAGACTGAAACATTTACAAAATAAACAAACAAAAAAACCACAAAACACACAACAAACCAACAAAAACCCCAAACCAAAAAACCACATCTGATATTAAGTAGTTAGTACGAAGTGATGGTTACCATATTTGGTATAAGATTTCTAGTTTGAAAACTATTAATTTCAACTTCATGAGAGAAAGGGGTTTAAAAAGTATCAAATAGTCAACAAAGTCCAAAGAAAACATTGAGTAAAATTGGAAAGATCAATTTCTTAGTTTTCTTTTCTAAAAATTTAGCATTTTGAAACAGAAAGAAATGTAACGGTAACATGACTTTAACAAATTTATAATACAATTTTAAAAACGTTGTCTTCACTTTTCAAAATATCTCCCATTGTATAGATACTGTATGCTAACTTTGCTTCGAATATTTACTATTCTTTTTCCCCTCTGCCTGAAAAACCCTCCCCAATGGAGTCCATTCTGATCAAAAGTTCTACCTTGAAATACACCTTGAATACCATCACTTCTTACTCCCAGACTCTCGTACCATCCCAGGCTGAGCCTTCCCTGGTACATAGCTTGCTAATCATCCCTCCTCTTACAGTGTTCTTTCCTACCACCCATTCTTTACAAAGAAGCCAAGGTGACTTTCTAAGTAGGAGAAAATGGTTAGTGGAGGTGTGGGGCAGTGAATGTCTCTCTGAAAGGGCCAGAAAGAATAAGAATAGCAGAGCCCCTCGCTGCCCCAGGGCAGAAAGCAGATGAAAAGCCCATAGCCCAGCCCCAAGGTGCCTCTAGAGCACAGCAGTAAGAGGTTAGTTAATTCATTGCTGAGTCAGATTCACAGTTATGGTACCAACAATGGGGTTTATTAAGGAAGGAAGTTGGAGAGTAGGGTAGGCAAAGAATATCATTCAATACAAGTCCAAGTTTTAGCCCAAGTTCCAAGGCATAATTCTTCAATTAGTCCAGGCTCCATCCAGGTTCAATTCAGCAACACAAATTCAAGAAGCCTCTGGTTTCCTCAGTCATCCAACAAGGTGTGCCTCAAAGCAGTTATAAGTCGGTTTCTCCTTCAATCATCCTTCAAGAACGGCAACAACCTTTACCATGGCCTTTATCTCCAGACTCCTGCGCTTACTCCTTACCAGTTTTTCCACAACAATGCCACAGTCCACCTCCATCACCAGGGTCTAGCTCTCACCAGAGTCTTGCTCCAGTCTCTCTCAACTCTTGCCACCACAAGTCTTGCTGCCCAGTATAGGAAGCACTCTTACTCTTATCCTAGTCCCACAGCTGTTGATGATTTGCAAGACTATGTGTCTGCAGTTAAGGTAGCTGGAGACCAGAAGGGGCTAACTATTATGACTAACAAAAGCCAACTTTCAGGCTAACACCACAGTGACTTTTCAATAATGTCAATCAGATCATATCCTTCCTCTAATCCGTATCTCTCGTCATCAAATGTCACCTCCTCAAAGAAATTTGACTTGCCATCCATTTAAATAAAAAAAAAAAATCCCCTCCTTAGAGAAGTTGAATAACTCACTTAAAGTCACACAGCAAATTAGTAGTGAAGTTTGGTTCCACAGAGATCTATAATTCCAATGGAGAGATTTCACACTCACACTACACTGTCATTCAAAAGCTGGTGACTGTATTTGTAGCCTGGTAGTTTCTGGTAAACCTCAAGTTTGCCTTTTAAACTGCTTCATGAACATCCCCAGTTGGATGAGTTTCTTCTAACACAATATATCAAATGCTGAAACCATCCTTCCCCCTGGAAAACTGAATGTCTTCTTTCAGTAAATGACATGGACATGGACCCCTCCAAGAGTTCAAGCCCAAAATCTGAACACTATCCTTAGCCCTTTCTTTCCATCACCACTCCTTGATTTTCTTATCTGTCCTGGCTCCTTATGTATTAAACACCTCTGAAAACCACCCACCTCTCTCCATCTCCCTTCCCAGTATCACTGAAGTTATCTATGTACACCTCAATGTGAGATTGTAAGAGTAGTCTCTTCACTGGTCTTACATTTTCTAGCCAATTCTCTATACAGCAGACATAACAATCTTCCTAAAACATAAATCTGAATGCTAAGACTTTCCAAAATCCTCCTCTTTGCCTAGGATATTGTGTTCCTTAAGTCTTATTGCCTATTTTTTCAAGTCTCACCCTCAGATCCCTTGTCGTTCATGATACCTTCTTGTCAAACTTCATAGAAAATGCCAAGCTCCTTTCCTCTCATGAGTTTTCCCATGGACTACTTCCTCTTCTTAAGCATGAGCCTCAATCTAACCACATCTGATTAACGCTACTGCTCCTTTGTTAATGTTGGTTCCTGCTGTTGGTGCCCCTTATCTCCTTTATCTATTGTACATCACTCTGATAGGAAGGGTTTTCACTGCTGATTTTCCTAACTAGAACGACAGGCTTTTCCTTCTAGATCTTTTGAGTCTAGAGGCTCTGCCAAGACCTATTCAACATCAATATGCAATATGCGAACCTGCACTGAGAGATGGGCGTAGTTGTGCATTCTTTGCATGTACTGAACTGCATAAAGACTGCACCACTAGATATTTATTTTCTCCTTGGGAAAACCTTTGCAATCTCTCCTCACCATGTCCCCCCACCCCATGAGAAATGCTCCCTGACCCCTGGTGATTAGTATATGTTCATTAGCATGTATGTTCTTGTCCAAGAACTAAGAATTGGTTTATAGTCTGTCTTCCAGGAAAGCTACAAGCTCTGTGTGCACAGAGACACATAGTTTGTGCTGTTATCTCATCAGCACACAGCAGAGTTTCTGGCAAAGAACAGGTGCTTGATATATTTCTCAAATGCATGGGGAAAGGAGCAGGCCACTTTGTGTAAATCACAATATCTTTTGGAATAAGGATCATAATATCATCAGTAACATTGCTGTGTGAGTTTCAAATAATACATGAATAAAATTTCCTGGGTGTCTGGCATGTTGATATTCAACAAGCAGTAGCTATTATTTTGTCCTTGGGTACACACTCACATTAACACATTCAGCTCACAACCCAAAGTTTGGTAGTTTGAGTTCACCTAGACGGCACTTGGAAAATATCAGAGGTAATTAACTTCCGAAAAAACCATCATTGAAAACCCACATTTCTATTCTGACACACATGGGCGTAACCAGGAGTCAAAATTACAGCTTTATCTCATTGGCAACTATTCCTATTGTATTGTTCCTTAAACATTTCACAATGTGACACAGATATTTTACTACAGAAGAATGTATTATCAAGTGTTGACATGAACCCTCTTGTAACTTCTTTTCACTGGAACAAGTGAGAATTCCAGTTAGTGATTCTTCACTCCTTACCTAATCTTCCTTCCAGTGCTTTTGTTTCCATACTTGTTATGGGTTTCTGTAAATCTTCAGAAGGGAGCTCTGGTTGTGCAGTTCACAGGGCAGTAAGTGGTATGAGAGTAAATCACAGAGCGAGCAGACTTTGCCATTTAGTCAGAACCAGCTCATAGCTGACCCACCAGCAGGTTTTCAGAGGCTAAAACTGGCATCTGAAGAGACTGCCCATCATCTCCCTCAGAGCTGCTGGTGGATTTGAACCATCAGTAAGGTGCCGCCTTTGTAATTTCAGAGGTAATTGTGTTTACACCTCAATTCCCTATGGACTAGGCCACCAATAGCGCTCCCCAAATCATGAATTTGTTTTTGTTAGGTGCCACTGAGTTGAGTACAACTCATACCAAGTCTGTGAACAACAGATAAGAACCCTGTCCTATTCAGAATGTACAATTCATGAATATTAAGCAACCTCTCTAAGACTGACAAATATCTCATGATTCTGGCTCTCCTTCAATCCTGTTAAACTCTTTTCCTTTTGGCAGTGAATCAGAGATATTTTTTGAGCAAGGTCCTACAAGAATTGGAAGCTCATATAAAAAGCTGGTTTATCGTGAGTACACCGACAACTCATTTGCAAAGCGCAAGGAAAGAGGACCTGACGAGGAACATCTTGGCATTCTGGGTGAGTGTGTATGGAACATAAATAACTTCCCCAAAGTGACAAAATAAAAAAAAGAAAAATGGGTTCAGGATCTTCAACACGATTTCTGCTTATAAATTTGGTATGTGATGGGCTCTATCGTCAATAAAGTGTAACTTTACAAAATGAAAATTATTAATAGTAAATTGTCATCATTAAAAACCAGGCTAACTTCAAATGATGCTGCCTTCCATCCCCACCTTCAGAAAGGTAAGGATAACGGTGTGTTTCTGTGACCTATTTGAGTTGTTAGAAATTAAAAGGCACATTGCCATGGGAAAGTCTGCTGTTAGGGACCTCTCCAAAGTACTGAAGAGCAGTGGTGTCTCTCTGGAGACTAAGGTGCGTCTGATACAGGCTATGGTCTTCGCAATCGCTTGTTATGCATCAGAGAGTTGGATAATGACTAGGGAGGATAGAAGGAGAATTGATGCCTTTGAGCTGTGGTGCTGGAGAAGAGTATTGAGAATACCATGGACTGCTAGGAAAACAAAAAGATTCGTCCTGGAAAGGGTTGAACCGGGTGGCTCCTTGGAGGCAGGGATTCTGAGGCTCCGTCTAACATACTTTGGACATGTTGTGAGGAGAGACCAGTCCTTAGAGAGGAACATCATGCTTGGGAGGGTGGAGGGACAGCGCAGGAGAGGAAGGCCCTCTATGAGGTGGATTGATTCAGTGACTGGGATAATCGGGATGGGAGTGTCGGAGACAGTGCAACTGGCACAGGACAGAGCGGACTTTAGGGCTGTTGTATATAGGGTCGCTATGAGTTGCAAGCGACTCGATGGCACATAACAACAACAACAACAACAACAACATTTGAGTTGTTGCTGATGTCAGAGTCTACAATGGCTCGAAATGGCCCTGTGAACTTCAGCTCAAAACCTTGCTCTATCCTACACCATTATCACGTCCTCAGCCTTTGAAAGTTACTCAATTTTCTACACCTATTTTCTTCTATAAGTTGGAAATAATTCCAGTTCTTATTTAATAAAGTTGCTTGGAAGATTGAATGAAATGAAACAGCCACAACAGACATAATAAAAATGTTCATAAATGGAGTCAATGTCACTGAGAACTTGTGTAGAAATTATAGAATTAAACTTCTGTGTAAGTCTTTTCTGAACACACATTAAAATAGTATTTAAAATTTAAACAAGAGATTAAACACTTAGAAGAGCATACAGGAGGCTTTTAAATTCTACGTCTTATACAATGTATATATGTGTTCATTCTACATTTCATAATAATATTAATTTTGATGATAGAAAATGATAGATTCTCCTCTATATCCGAGACAGTAGAACTTAACTGCTTTGGGTGGTCAAGATTTATAGCACCCCTTGACTCTTAGAGCAAACAGCACACAAATGGGGTTTTCAGGTGTTACAATCTACCCAACAGCAAATAATATCACTGACACAGCGAACAGAAGTCTAGAGGGAACAGCGGAAACACTCTGAAGAGCTTTTAATAGTTGTCCACAAACCCTGGCTTAAATTCACCCAGTCTCTCCATGGGAGAAGCCCAGCTAATTTGTTACCATAAAGATTATGTCCAGGGAAACCTGATCAGGCAATTCTACTCTTACTACAAGGAGTCACCACAAGCTGAAAATCACTTCAATGCAACCTAACAACAAAGCCTCTAGACTGACTCAGACCAAAAATGATACTAAATGTCACTTATTTTTTTTTCTTTTTCTTTTCAAAGAGAGGAGCGAAATCTCGCTTATTTTAAAGTAGATCCAAAAATTCCAATTTTCTTTGCCGAAGGTGTGAAAGACTTGATTTTTAAAAAAATATTATAATACTCTTTTTAGTGTGTGTGTGTGTGTGTGTGTGTGATCAAATTGGATCTGTCTGGCACAGGAGGAGATTGCCCCTCCTTTTTCAGCAAAGCATCTGGTGGATTCAAACTGTGTACCTCTGGGGTTGCAGTGTAGCTTCTTGCCACTGAGCCACCAGAGCTCCCTGAAAGACTTGTATAAAAATAAATAAATAGGGGAGCATTGGTGGCCTAGTGGCAAGAAGCTGCACTGCTATCCCAGAGGCGCATGGTTCGAATCCACCAGATGCTCTGCCGAGGAAGGAGGGGCAATCTCCTCCTGTACCAGTCAGATCTGATTTGACGGTACACACGCACACACACAAATAATAAAAAAATAAAAATAAATATATGCATACATACATAAGTAAATGAATGAATGAATAAATAAATGAATAGATAGATAGATAGATAGCAAGCTTTCCCTTTACCCCACACAGCCATTTGTCCCCACGAGTTCTTGCCAGAGGACAAGACTAAAAGAAAATAATAATAATATTTTATGCATTCTGCATGTTACAAGCTAAGTGAGATTGATAATTATCTCTTTGTCCCCAGGTCCCGTCATTTGGGCAGAGGTCGGAGACATAATCAGAGTCACCTTCAAGAACAAAGGAACACATCCCCTCAGCATTGAGCCAGTTGGCGTGAGAGTCACTAAGGAAAATGAAGGCACATACTATGCTTTGCATTACAACGCCTCAGATGAAAGTGAGCACAGTACTCTGAAATGACTCATTCATGTTTCAGTATTGACTATGCTGGTCATCTCAAAAATCTGTTCTACAAAACCTGAAGGCAGGGATTTGAAAGGAAAGAGCTCATATATCATCATCCTCATCCTCTGGCATCCCACCAGGAAGTAAACAAATACCTTCTCATCTATTTCTGATTGGTTCATGGAATTTTGCCCTTACTTAATTAAGTGTGAACAGGTGTAAAATGAGCATTCTCCTCCCAAGTGAGTTACAGCCTCAGAAAACCTGCCCAACGGTCAGCTATGAGTTGGTTTCAACTCGATAGTCATGAGAGAGAATAATAAGGATCATTATTGACAATGCTCGTAATATTTTTATTTTTATTCATCACTCATTTCTAGAGTACTATTTGAAAGATTATTCATTTTAACAGTTTTGTAAGTAAAAACTTAAATGACATTTTAGAATATTTTCTAAATATAGGAAGACATAAACAAAAATATTATCCATGGTGGTGTTGTTATGTGCCGTTGAGTCATCTGTGACTCATAGCGGCCCTGTGTACAACAGCTCTGAACCCTGCCCTGTCCTGAGCCAGTATGGACAACCGTTATTTTAATCTAATTCCCTCCCGTGCATATGTAATATATAATTTAAATGTGGTTGAGCTCATACTATATACTTACCATTATAACCTTGTTCTTTAAAATTTTATACCTTGATTGTGTTCTCCTAACATTATGAGATTTTCTTAATAGTATTTTAATGCTGTAAAATAATCTATCAGCTATGCGAAGGCTGGTCAATAAAGACCTGCAACCTGGGCAGACTATTTACCTCTCTAAACTTAGTTTCCTCAGGTGTAAAATTGAGAGAGTTAACACATTCCTTTTAATTATAAAATATTTTTTAAACTTCAATTTGTTGCCATGGAGTAGGCACTGACCACTAGCTGACCTTGTATTTCTGAGGCTGTAGCCTGCCCTAGAGGAGGTTGGCCATCTTTGTCCCCCTGTGCCAGTGATACCAGGACTGCCAGAAAGACACAACCTTTGCATCAGAGCGGCATCTCCCTGTAGGGTTTACCAGCAGATCTCTCTATTTTCTGTTATGTTTTAACAAAATTATGCTGATTACTCTCTATGACCAGACACTGTTCTATCTGCCGGAAACAGACACCATGCTTGCCTTCAGGGTTAAGTTCATGAAATGTGTGAGAGGGCCAAGGGAGCACAGAGAGAGGCATCAGGGAAAGTTTTCGAGAGGGAGTCACGCCCATCTATGACCAGTCACAAGAACACCAAGCAGATTCCATTCTAGCCCTCAACAAGGGACTCAGGAAGAAATTAGCCTAGACTAACCCAGTCTGCTGTGGTACATTGATGACCACACTGGAAACAACACTAAATCTCTTTAATGTGACTTGTCTTACAGGTACGCTTCTTCCTCACTCCTATTTTGTGACACCTGGAGAAACATTCACCTATGAATGGACTGTCCCCGAAGCAGTGGGGCCCACTTATGCAGACCCCGTGTGTATATCTAAGATGTATTATTCTGCTGTGGAACCCGCCAGAGATCTTTTCACTGGTCTCATTGGGCCAATGAAAATATGTAGGAAAGGAAGTTTAAATGAAAAAGGGAGACAGGTAAGTTCAATCAGGAAAAATGAAAAGATATCTTGCCAATCTATTTGAATTATCATCAACATAAGAAAAATTCTGAGTTTTGAGGCAGTGAGAGTGGTGTACATAATAACATTTATTGGGCTTTCTTTTCATGCTTATTAAATCAGTATTGCCTTATAAAATCTAATGTATAGAGATGGCCTTGCTAACATCGTTGTTTCAAGATGGTTGAAAAACAGATTTTCCATTGAATCTGAGGTTTCTTGTGGCACAATAAGCATTAACACAGGTACGTAATTATCAGTTGTTAATGATAAGAATCTCATATTCACTGAAGAAAATATTACTCAAAGTGTATTTTTAGAAATGAGAACATTACCTTTTGACCTGTTTTTCTTGTTATATGCCATCAAGTCACCTGCAACTCACAGCAACCCTATGTACAACAACCCTAAACCCTGCTCTATCTTGTGCCACTCTCACTGTCTCTGACACACCTATCCCCATTACCCAAGTGACGGAATCAATCCATCTCATCAAGGGTCTTCCTCTTCTGTGCTGTCCCTCCACCCTCACAAGCTTGACGTCCCTCTCTATGGACTGGTCCTGCCTTGCAGCATGTCCAAAGTATGTCAGATGAAGCTTCAGAATCCTTGCCTCCAAGGAGCAGCCTAGTGTCAGCCTCTGTAGGATGAATCTGTTTGTTCTTCTAACAGTCCATGGTATATTCAGAACTCTTCTCCAGCACCACAGCTCAAAGGCATCAATTCTCCTTTTATCATCCCTAGTCATTGTCCAGCTCTCTGATGCATAGCAAGTAATTGCAAAGACCATGGCCTGTATCAGGCACACTTTAGTCTCTAGACTGACTTCGTTGCTCTTTAATACTTTGGATAGATCTCTGACTTTCCCAATGCAATTCGTCTTTTATTTCTTGGTACCAAGACGGTTGTGAAGCCAAGCATGCTAAAGCTGTTTACGATCTCACCATCAATCATGATGCTGCCAATCAGCATGTGGTGACAACAATCTTTGTTTTCTTAATGTTGAGCTTCAATCCATATTGAAGGCTGCAGTCCTCGACCTTCTGCAGCAAGCACATCAGAGCCTCCTGAGTTTCAGCAAGCAGGGTTGTGTCATCTGCATAATGCAGATTGTTGATGAGTCTTCCTCCAATCCTGATACCACATTTCTCCTCATAGAGCCCAGCCTCGCAGATAATCTTTTCTGCATATAGATTGAAAAGACATTGAGATAAGACACATCCCTGGCATATACCTTTTCCAGTTTTGAACTGTGCAGTGTTTCCTTGCTCTGTTCTGACAACTGCCTCCTTAGGTTTCACATAAGCATAACTGAGTGTTCTGGGACTCCCATTCTTCTCAGGGTCAGCCACAGTTTGTTGTGATCCACACTTTCAAATGCCTTTGCATCGTCAATGAAACACAGATAGACATTCTTCTGGTCTTCTCTACTTTCAGCCAAGATCCATTCACCGTTAACTATAATATCCCTAGTACCATGGCCTCTTCTAAACCCAGCCTGCACTTTAGGCAGTTCTCTGGGATAATCTTCAGCAGAATCTTGCTTGCATGTGATATCAATGATATTGTTCAAGAATTTCTGCACTCTGTTGGGTCATCTTGCTTTGAAATGGGAACATGTATAGATCTCTTCCAGTCATTTGGCCAGTTATTGTCCTCCACTAGCAGTTATGGCAGCTGAGGCTGAGCCTTCAAGTATGGAAACACAATGGAGGAGGAACAGTGGTAAGCAGACATTACTGATTGGAACATGGAGTGTGAGAACCACAGATATAGAAAAATTGAATATTGTTAAGAAAGAAACGGAATCAGATGATCCATGCTGGAGATGAAAGGGTGAAAAAAATGGGGTTGCCTTCATAGTAAAAAAAGTCATTTCTAGATCCATCTTGAACTACAATGCTATGAATGACTGGACAATGTCCATATGCATATATGGAAGCCCAGTGAATACCACTATCATTCAAATAAATGCATCAACAACCAGAGCCAAAGAGGAGGAAAGAAAAGATTACTACCAACTTTTGCAGTCAGAGATAGATCGAACATGCATTCAAGATGCATTAATAATAATAGGTGACTGAAATGCAAGAGCTGGAAAACATGGACTTGGTGATAGAAATGAAGCTGGAGATAGAATGATAGAATTTTGCACAATGATTTATTCATTGCAAATACTTTTTTTAAAGAAATGTAAACACAGGCTACATACATGGATTTCACCTGATGGCATGCGTAGGAATCAGATCGATTACATCTGTGGAAAGAATCACTATTAAGTAAAATATTAATTAAATGAATATTAATTAATGAAAATTTAAATTCTTTATCTTAATTAAAGCTCAATATTAACTGTGAAAACTAGGCCAGGTGTTGATTGTGGAAAAGACCACCAACAATTCATATGTAAGTTCAAGCTGAAGCTGAAGAAAATGAAATTGAATCCATGGGAACCAAGTAGTGGAATAGCTTGGGTCATATGGAATTTCTACGTTCAGCTTTTTTTAAGAAGCGCTAATCTGCCTTCCAGAATGGTTGTACCATTTTACAAGCCCACCAACAATGTATAAGAGTTTCTTTCTCACCACATCCTCTCCAACATTTATTACTTGCTGTCCTGTTAAGCTTTGTCACTTTTACTGGAGTGAGATGGTACCTCATTGTAGTTTTGATTTGCATCTCTTATTGCCAGTGATTTGGAGCATTTCTTCATGTGTCTGTTGGCAATCCGAATATCTTCCTCTGTGAAAAGTTTTTCTATGTCTTTTGCCCATTTTGTAATTGGGTTATCAGTTGCTTCCTACTAGTATAAGTAAAAAAATACTAAAAAAAAAAATGCAGAAACCCTAATTTGACCTTTTGAGCTAGAAATAGACATAGTTAACACTATAATTATTTTTCTTTTAAAAAGAAGTATCTTAATACCTTCACAAGAAATTAGCAAATGGATGGGTAGGGTGAAGGGAAAGGGAGGCTACAGCAAGGTTTTGATAAGATAAATAATGCGACCTTACAACTGGACTTGATGCTATAGACAAAGTGCATAAGAGTAATTGAAGGAAAACCACACACAGAAGCTCGTGGATTAAGACCTATCAACTTATTTCTAAAAGACATCCTGAAATCCTAAAACCTTCTGAACAGTGAGTAAAAGACAGAACACTATAATTTTCAAAAACCTTGGAGAATATACACTTGAGATTATTTTTTTAATTTGGTCACAACTCAAGTGTGATAAATGCTTTAAAACAGATACATAACAGATGTTTTAAAAAATACTTCTAACTAGTAATCTCTCTGTTGAGTATCGGCTATACTTGAAGCCAATTCTTTATTATTATTATTATTACTACAATAAATCACTCTATATTACAAAAATATTAGCA